CCTGGTTCCCAGAATTGATGTAAAAAGCCAGGCAGAGTGGCACAGATTTGTAGTCTCAGCAATGATGAGCTTGGAGATGGAAATATGCACCCATGTACACACACATGCACACACCCACCCCTACCTCGTCATGGTCAGAATCTACTTTCCAACCACTAACGGAGGCTCAGAACCTCTTGGTGCTATGGTGCTACTGTGTAATCCTCAGGCTATGTAATCCTCATGGCTATGCAGGGGCCATTAGCAACACAATATGCCTAAGACTCGCCCTGGAGTTTTGTTTGACAGTAGACACTGGGGCTTGTCTAGCAGTCAGGATGAATGGCAGGTTCTGACTCAAGTGACCTGAGACTGCGTTTCCCACAAGCTCCCAAACAATGCAGATCTTGCTGGTATGAAGACAGACCTCATCTAGGCAACCACTACCCACCCCTGCATCCTAATGGTGACCTTAGCTTCAACTGAGCATTGACAAGAGCTCCGAGTTGGAGTAGGTAGAGGGGGAGAGTGTTCTCTTAAGGGAAATACTGTTGTAACCACTTAGGGAGACAGTTTAAATTATGATGGTAAATATAGTATATTATGTCTCCAAGGTTTGTCTGTTGTTAACTATTACATAAAATCAGTCAGTGATGTTTCAGATTGCCTGAGTTTATCTATGTCTCCATAGTACCCCTTGTAGCAAGGAAAGAAGTGACCTTCAGATGAAAGACAAAAGATAAATACCCAAACATTTGCACGTCATTATTGTCATTACTATCAATTATTAATTGAGGAAGGACTGACATGTACTCAGTGTGGGTAGAGATTTTGTTTAAGCACCAGCCCAGAGAGACCTGGAAAGGAAACCAACAGAGACCATGAATTATACATACAGATCCTGCTGTAAGAGGTTAAGGGAAGCATGAATGCCCGGGCTGGGGAAGGGGTCTGGAGGCTGCAGCCTCCGGAACAGCAGAGTGGAGTTAATGTGTAACTCGGGAGCCCGTGCAAAGTGCCCTTTTAATGCTTTTGAGGGACCAACATCCATGCTTTTCCTGAGAGAGGGTCAATGTCAGGGCAGGACCACAACTCTACACATCTTCAGGGGAATTTACTTATTTATGTAAGTAGAAAATCAAAACATAGAATGTCAAGAGTTTAGTCTTGGGGGTTTGAAAGAAAGGAATTGAGTAAGAGTGTTGGTGGGCAACCATGAGGACATAAGTTCGAATCCCCAGCACCTATAGAAAGAGCCAGGCATGGCTACACATCCTGTAACACCTACACTGAGGGACAGAGAGAGGGGAACAGATGCATTTTATGACAAAGCCTTAGGCCTGCATATCATTTAATTCATTGATAAACTATCAGCTATCTTATTCTGGAAAACACTCATTTAGAATGCAGCAGGTGAAAGGATTGGTTGTGTAATTTACATACTTGGATATCAACATGCAATAAGCAATAGTAATAACCACAACAATCCCTGCTGGTTCTAGAATGTTCCCGGGAGGAGAACTGTAATTAGAAAGGAAGGCAGCATTGGGTTTGGACTCAGTACCATTCTTTGTCTGTCCTCTCAGCTTCTCTTTCCTTGGTCTCTCAGCATCCTGATGGAGTCTAGCCATGGCAGACAATCTTTCTGTGTGTGTCTCCCTCCTTCTTCCCTTGTCCCCATTGTGATGTGTCTTTCAGCCTGAGCTGCTAGCATCTTTGGGGCTGGGCATCCAGCATTGCAAAAGTTCCACATCCGTGTTAAGGGTACATCTGTTACATCTTCTTGGTGGAAGGACCTTCAGTACATTCACGCAGGGCGAGGAAATTTGCACAGGCCCTATGAAGGTCATGAACCCACAATGTATTGTTAGAAAAGAAATCTGTATAAGGTACACAGCAGAAAGCTGGCCGCTTGATAATCCAGTCAGACTCAGGAACTCACATTCCTTCTTCATGGCAAAGAAGTGTGGGAATGGAGGCAAATTGTGGGGTAGTGCGTGACTCTTTAGAGAGCTGAGTGGCCCCAAGGAAGCGGTTTGTAAATGATTCTTTCAGGGAGTTGACTAGCAGTAGAACACACAATGGCTTATGATGACGCCTACGCTCCTATGATAGGAGTTTAATCCTTTCTGACCAAGGAAGTCCCAGTAAAGAGACTGAAGGCGGTTTGTCTTTTCGGTTGGAAGTCTTTTATGTGATAAAGGAATGTCTGAGAGGAGAACAAGGGAAGGCTGGAGAGACCCAGCCCAAGCCTTCTGGTTCCTTTGGTTTAAGAACTCGGCATGTCAGAGCAGCACGCTTGGTGTGGTTTTTGTTGCCTCCCAACATTAGCTGGAGCAAAGTGAGCCATCAAGGATGTTTCTGAAACTGTATGTCCGTTTTCTACAGCGACTGTCTTCTATCCCCAAATGTTCTGGGTTCCATAGTAGAGAAGTTAAATCCGGGTAATGTTATTCTCAGTTTTGTTGGTTTGGACTGGTTATTTTTGAGACTATCCATGGATGAGCCTTTAGCCAGATACCTCCTGCTCCTTGTGTTTCAGGATTCAGATTCTCACTTTATAGCTACACTGCTTGGTTTCCTCTTTCCTTATCTTGTTGGGTGTTCTATGCTTTCGAGGAGCATAATTTTTGCTCAGAAGTCAGCATGATAGGGTACTCCAAATCAGTGCAGTTCTCTGTATTGAGGATGTTCTCTATTGTCATCTGATGATGACAAGTGATCAGTGGGAAACAGGACAGTAAGTTGACCTGGCTTTTGGAAACAAGGGAGGGAAACATGGTCACAGAAACTGTAGAAGGAGCTGTCATCTTGCTTCATGATACTCTCATGTCCTGACCTTTGACCCTTCATGGTGCTAAGCACACTGTCTCACCACAGCAGTCAACTGTGATTTCTCTAGACACTTTCCAATTCAAAGCTCTGCTGGCCTATTCTGCCTGCACAGTTCCAAAGTTAAGTACTGTGCCTGGCCTAAGTGGATGCTGGCAGCATATCTACTGGACTTGTTTATTTATCTTTTTAGAATGGGGAGGGTGGATTGTTTTGTGTTGCAGAGTAATGATCCGTTAAACTGGGACTGCTAGGACTTAGCAGGTGGGTGTGCTTGCCACCAAGCCTGAGGACCTGAGTTTGATCCCTGGAGCGGCACACAGCAGGAGAGAACCAGCTCCTGCAAGTTGTCCTCTCAACTCCACACGCATGATCTGTCATGTATGTGCCTACACACATATGTATGCATATAAAATAAGTAGATGACTAAATAAGTGTCAAAAATTTTCAAAGAATGAATTTGGCTTTCTCTGCTTCCTCTGAAATATTTGCATGTCGCGAGATTCTGTGAACATTCTTCTCATTTTGTCTCAGGTTCTTTTTTATTATAGGAAAAATCATATAATAGAACATTTACCACTATAACCACGGTTTTTTTAATTAAGAGGAATTTTCTTTTGTTATTTTGTTTGATTCTTCAACAACTCCATTCATGTTTATAAAGAGTTTTGGTCATTTTCACACCCATCAACCCACTACCTTTTTTAAAAATCCCTGAATCCATTGAAGCAGTTTCTCCCAACAAGTCCCTCTTCTACACTGATGTCTGTTTTTGGAGCCTTTTGAGTTCCTTTGTATGTATGTAGACAAAGTATATACCTAGGAACATAATGGTTACAGTCAGTGTTTAGTGGATGTCTTAGTTAGGGTTTCTATAGCTGTGGAGAGACACCATAACCGCAGCCTGGACCTAAGCTGTTTTTTAATTCCTTTTTACAAGTTGAAAGCTTAGCTGGGTGGGGTCTTGTCCTGAGGTCACCAGGACAAGATCTTGAACTTAGAGCTCCATTTCACTTCCTGGTGCCCCTTTCTCTCCTCAAATTATACATTCCGTATTTTTCTTTTCTCAGTTTGCTCCTTTTCATTATGTATCTTCATGAGAGTTAACACAACAGAGTCTATACTAGGCTGTTTTGAGATTTCCTTTGCCAATGAAATTAATCCAAAACCCTTCCCTTTGGCAGACTTTTCCGACAAGGGCAAAAAGCAGCCACATTCTTCACCAACACACTAAGACTCTTCTCTAAAATGTCTTGAGCCAGTCCCCACAGTTCAAATCACCCTCAGCTCCACTGTATTCCATGCTCCTTCTAATATGGCCCACTAAATCCCACTCAAAGTGCTCAACTGCTTTTCTAATCCAAACTCCCAAAGTCCATATTCCTCCAAACAAAAGTATGGTCAGACCTATCACAGCAATACCGTGGTCCCTGGTACCACCTTCTACATTAGTTAGGGTTTCTATTGGTGTCAGGAGACAACATAACCATGGTAATTCTTACAAAGGAAAACATTTAAAAATTGGTTTACAGTGTCAGAGGCTTAGTCCATTATCATCACGGTGAGACAAGGCAGCTGGAGAAGGAGCTGAGAGTTCTACATCTTGATCTGCAGCAGCAGAAGGAATCTGCCACACTGGGTGTGGCTTGAGTGTATATAAAACCTCAAAGCTGGTCTCCACAGTGGCATACTTCTTCCAACAAGGCCACGCCTATTCCAGCAAGGTCATACCTCCTAATAGTGCCATTCTCCGTGAGCCAAGGATTCAGACAGATGAGTGTATAGGGGTCATGCCTATTTAAACCACCACGGTGGATATTGCCAGCATTCCAATTGGTGGTGTAATGTTAGCTTCTCCCATTTTCAGTGAAACTGCCAATCTCCCCATTTTCTACCCAGAAACTTGATGTCATCATTTTAAGTTAGCCATTCCAATGGCTACACAACAGTCTTGAAGTGGTTTTCCTTATACAGGGTAGAATATATTTTAAAATTCTATAGCTATTTGGCACCCTCTTTTATGATGTTGCCAACCATGTGTCGCTGAGACTTTTTGCATATAATAATGGCATTCAATGTTTTTCTTTTGGTTTTTTGAAAGTTGAAAGAAAAATTTCAAATTCCGGTAGAACTTTAGGCCTGGGAATGTTGCTTTCTTACTTAAATTTGAATTCTTTCCTTTTCTTCAGATGAAGTTTGAGAGAAGGAGAGCTCAAACTTGTGACGGAGACTACAGAAGACTCAGTAGTGGGATGGATAAAGACCCTTGACCGCTTCGTTCAAGCCTTGAGTCGACTGTCTGTGCAAAGGCGGTGTTGACGAACAAGGTAACAAGTGAACCAGCAGGTACCCTGCAAACATCAGCTGCAAAGTGACCGTAGGGCAAGTCAGACTCTCAGGTCCACATATGCTTTCTTTCTCAGTAGAGACTTCTCATGACATTCTCCAGGATTGCACCGTGCTTTCAAGTTGTTTGATTCACCAAAGAAAATGCACACACCACGAGATCACACACTTGAATGTGTGATGCCTGTGTGCTCAAGGATACTGGCATGTGCCGTTTGTTCAAATGCTGAACAACATCCTGCCCTGATCTCAAAGATGTAAGAACACGTCAAGGTTTTTCTGTTTTTTTTTATGGAAATATTTTGCAGAAAGTTTTATTTAACACAGCTGGTTAGACATGTTTAGTTTCTAGTGCTGAAGCCCATCCCTTTTCCCGCAGAGAAACACTTTGCTAGCTCCTTCCACACCCACCTCACCCCACAGGACCGTTAAACATAGAGATTTCTTCATCTGCTGTCTCCTTTATTTCTCCCAGCACTTCATGCCCAAAGCTGTATTTCTTCCTTGCCATCTGCTTCACCTCCCTCTCCTCTTACTCAATCCCCAGCTTCCTTCTCTCTAATTATCCCCAACAGAAGTGACTCGCAATCTGTAGGTAGAAAGATCTAAAAGATACAAGCAAGTGAATTTTCAGTCAATGGAATTTACCAATGGGATGAGATCAGAAGTATGTGAGGGGGAGGGAAATTTTGGACTATTACACTCTCTTTACAAATGAGTCTTCAATGATGGGATCTTCAGGCAGCACACCTGATGAAAACCATTTAAGAAAGTCTTATAGTTATATATGCAATTGAAGAATAATGCTATGGGTACTGGAGAGATGGCTCAGTAGCTAAGAGCACTGGCTGCTCTTCCAGAAGACCCAGGTTCAATTTCCAGCACCTTCAGGCAGTATGCAACTGTCTGTAACTCCAGTTTCAGGGTACCTGACATCTTCACACCAATGTACATAAAATAAACGCTAAATAAATTATTTTTTTAAAAAAATACTATGTTTTTTTACTATTTGTGGAAAGATGCGCTTGTTTCCAGATTGAGAAAAGGTCTTTTAAAATATTCATTTAGGCTTGAGTGATTGTGCTTCTCTGGAAAAACTTGTGAATTAGTGATGTTTGGGAAATATCTGATTGTTTCTGCTCATTAATTCCAAACATTTTATGAGGCCTCTTTTCCCAGCAGACCTTGAAAAGCAGAACCAAGTACATAATCTATCAAACCACCATGTAAACACATATGTGTGTGTGTGTGTGTGTGTGTGTGTGTGTGTGTAGAAGTCTGTAATAGCGGCTTCCAAGGGATGCCCTGTATTTCCAGGGGTCCCTAAGTCACTTTAAATGTGTCTATGAAATAAAAAACTAATTTTATAGGAATGCTAAGGTGTTGCTTGCCTTTTCTCACAGATGTTGACCTTTGCATTGTTGATGCAAAAATGATGTTGGATGAAACTCAGTGTCTTGTGGGGGAGGGTCCTAGGCAGTGGTGCCTGGCTGCAAGAAGGAACACTGACTATATATATCACACTCACAATGGAAAGAAAAGCCAGTGTCACCTGTAGACAGAAAAGAAGTATAAGCTGTGAGCTATACTAAATTTCACCCTTTTATATCTTTGGGATATTCTGTGTGATCAAATGGCAATCATGGGCCAATATTTCTTCAGTGTAGCAGGCAGTGTGGGTGGTTGATTCATGGAAAAATGCTAGCCACATTCTTTTTTTTTTTTTTTTTTTTTTTTGGTTTTACGAGACAGGGTTTCTCTGTATTGTTTTGGAGGCTGTCGGTCTAGCCTGGCCTGGAACTCACAGAGATCCGCCTGCCTCTGCCTCCCGAGTGCTGGGATTAAAGGCGTGCGCCACCACTGCCCGGCTGCTAGCCACATTCTTTACCCAATGGGACAACTTTGTTTTATTTTATGAGACCAACCTTGGCTACATAACACATTCAAGGCTATCTTGGGCTATATGAGAATTTGCCTTAGAAAATAAATCCTAATGATCTATCACATGCTGATTTTAAAACATTTAAAATGTTTTTTTAAAGGGCCATTCTTCTTCTCATCATGTGGCCATGTATAGTGGGGGGGCACCATTGGGGGAGGTGATAACAGGATCTTTGTTGTTACAAAACTTTTAATGGCGTGGGGTATAAGGACTGTCCCAAAGATGAAGCTGATCCTAGTGTATTACACAGAAGTCTCTGGCAACTTTTTCTGTGAAAAAAATACTTTGGATAAAACTGCTGACTGAAGCAGACATCAAGAGAGAGTACAAATATTGGTGGTGACTTAAAATAAGATGCTCTACATCTCCTTTTAGAGTGCACTGTTGAGCAAACCTCTCAGAGGCCCCGTGGCTTCTGTCTCTTGGCATTCAGGCCCCGTGTAAGCCTCTCACCTTGAGTATAATCTGGGCAGAGTGGCTGGTGCCTCATCTGTACTATAGCCTGGTGATCAAATATCACATCTAGATTACAGCAAGGCCAGCGTGTCTCCCACTGGCCCTGTATTGCTTCTGCTGCTCTGTGAGCCCCAACCCATGAAAGACCACTCCCTGACAGCAACCATGACTGTGAGCTAAGAATGGATTTTCCTTTACCATAGCCTTGCCCATTGACAAAAATGCCCATCACAATCTTGAATTTGTGCTCCTCATTGATTGCCTTATAAGAGGGAGAGGTACCTAACCGGGCCACATCTGAATTTTTGACCCACAGAAATTGTGAAACAATAAATGTTTACTGTTTTAAAGTGTTAAAACCTGGAGTAACTTGTTATATAGCATTGGTGACTAATGCTTGTAAATATGAGTATTCATGTAAAACTTATGTGTAAATTTCACGAGACTTTGAGATATCTCCAGAGCTAATAATTCCCAGGCTGTGGATCTAATAATTGTCCTTAATATGAAGCCCAGTAAAAGGGAAGGAAACATTAGCAGGGTGAGGGGTATAAAGGGAGGGGGCAGTGTGCAGACTGTGAGGTCAAGGGAACCAGTTAGTACTTAGTGCCAGGACAAGACATTTCTGGAACTTTCTGAGGACACAGAGCCTAGGGAATAGCAGTTAACTAACTGAGAAAAGCACTGTTGTGAAATAGAATGAGGAGGATCTATAGCCAACAAATGAGTGGTCTGTGTAGGGATTTAGGTTTGTGGGAAGAAAACTTGAACAACACATGGAATGGACAAATGGCAGTCTCATAATGGTTGGAGCTGCAGTTTGAATAGTGTACGTTTCAGGGAGGGCTCTTTACATTACCTAAGGTCAAGGGCTGGCTTAAAGAATTTGAAACTTCCTAGATCCAGGATTTTTAGGATGATGCGGTCAGTTCATTTTGGTTGAGGGATCTGCAGAGAATGCTCCAAGTTTCCCGAGGCCAGAGAGTGATGATGTACTAAAGAGGTTGCTCTCCTGTTGTGTTTGCATAGAAAACCCGGGATAGGGTCTCCGATGCTCTTTCTTGGGAACCGTTTTTCCCCCAAGATGATACTCAGTGCTACCTGCATTGTCAGAGGATAATTATCCAAAAAGAAAGGGGGGTGCCGTTGTCAGACAAGGGGAAACAATGTCGGGCAGATAATATGACATATGTCTCCGTATTGAGTGACAATAACCAGGGGCTGGGAAGATTGCTTAATATTTAAAATTATGCCAACCTAATTCAATAACTGGAGACTTAATGCAGCTGTGGCGCGTGTGTGTCTCAGCTTCCCCTCATTACAGGAAATTTGGGTTGTACGTAGGAAGTGACTCGGATGATGGAGTCTAATGAATCAGGGCAGGACAAGGGTGGCTCAGGAATAAAGGTCTCTAAATGAAATTCAGAGGCTCGTATTTGGAAGGAAACACTCGATCCTCTTCTCCCTGCCAGGCTCCGCTGGTTTTGTTTTTCTTGGAACACAGTGGCTCACAGAGCCCAGACCCGTTTACTAAAAACTGAGCAAACTCTGCAGCAAGGGCTTTTCTTTCCAGATGTGTTCCATGTGAAGAGGCTGCATGCCGTCCACTCCATGTCCCTGTGTCCAGACCTTGGCTCCTCTGGATTCTCCCAATACTTTTGAAATTGGGAATTTGGCTCCAAATGACGAAGGTCTAATTTGAAAGCATGCAAAGGAGGGATGCAAGTGTGGTAGTCTTAGGTTACGAATAAAGACTTGATTTACTAAATTAAGACTATTGGTGTGGGGGTGGGGGTGAGGAAGACAGTTCACTGAAACCAGCAGGAATGCAGAACACAGGAAGAAGGAGAGAGGCCCCTTTGGTGAGATAACCTTCTCAGCCCACCTGCAGAAAGTCCATCACTGGGGCTTCATTGGACATGAGCGAACAAATCACCAACACAGAATAAGGCAACTAATTTGTAACTTCTGTTAGGTTTTTCAAAGTTAATTATCGTGACTATTATGTTATTATCATCCCAACAACATAAACATGAGTTGTCAACTTAAAACAATCATGTTGTACAGATGTTGCCTTTTTTGAGGGAATGGAGATAAGATGTCTAATTAGAAAGATGCCTTTAGTTGCATTTCCAGGCCTTCAGTCTAGGGCTGGACTCTGGTCAGCTTCGGGTGGTTGGTACGGACTCTACTGGTGGGCCCTTCTGGCTAAAGCTCTTCATGGACACAGTGTTTCCTCTGTTCTGGTGTGTTCATAGTCCAAGCTGAAGGGATCTGACTGCTGAATTTCCTATGATGCTTTCTTTGAGGATATTACGACTATCCCCTGCTTAAAACCCTATTAAGTCATGTTCTGTCTCCAATAACTAGGTTCTGTATTCTACCCATTTTGGCCAGTCATCAATACAGTTCATAAAAGAAATATTTGTGGTATCTGTTATATGTGTATATGTGCATATGCGCACACAGAAACACACATATATATACATACATATATGTATATACATACATACATATATACACATGCACACATATTTAGAAAAAATTTTGGTAGTTCTCATATAGCCCATTTTCACTTCAGACTTTCTCTGTGGTTGAGGATGACCTTGAACTTCTGATCCTCTGATATCAGCCTCTGAGTGCTGAGATCACAGGCGTCTGCCACCACTCCCTGTTCATGTGGTATAGGGAATCAAACTCAGGATGCATGCACAGTAAACAAGCACTCGACCAACTGAGCCACTGCTTCATGTTTTACCTTGTATTTTATACGTGTGAATATTCCCCAAATTAGAGAAGACCAGCCACCGAAACCAGGAAAGTCCAAAAGGACCACGGTGAGAGAAGCCCTAGAGATGGGACTATCAAGATACACATGATATGAAGGGTTAAGTGGGAAAGATGGGGAGAAGGACTTTAACTGGGGGGAAGAATACAGAAGAAGAAGGAAGAAGCAAGGATAAATAACACCAAAATGTTTGAAAAGCCTTTAGGAAAGAGTATTTTGTATTTATCTAAAATTATGTGTAATTTATCTGTGTATTTGTTGATTTTTCTGTCATTTTTTTTCAAAGAAAGTTATGCTGCTTGGGCTGACAATCCCCCTCACCATGAGCCATAGACCATCAAACAAAAACCTTGGCATCAGGCATGAGAAATCTCCTTTCCAGTTGCTGGGAAGGGTAGTCCAAGAGACTGCCCAAATAATATAGGCAATTGCTGTTGCTCTTGGCTGTCTACCAGCGGTTAATGGTAAAGACACCATGCACTTCCAACATAGAACTCAGAGGGTTCAAGCTGGATCTGACCTGAAAGCCTCCTCCTTGAAAACTAGATTTCATGGTCCTGGAAGGTGCTTTGCCAGTTGCCAACGAAGGAAAGCAATCACTTCTTCTATCCAGCTGTGATGTTTATGAACCACAAAAATGGCCAGCGCGGCAAGATATCCCTAAAAGTGTAGCAATGACACTTGTCTCTTGGCAGGCAGTAACCAGTAATTCTCTAATTGGACTTCAGCTGTTCTACAGTAGGGAAGTTACGGCTGGTTCTGGAAATCTGGTCAACAACTAGTAAGGTAATGAATCTTAGAAGAGAATCTATTACCACCGCTTTCCTAGAACAGCCTAATTCCTAATCACATTCTGAATATTTATCCTTATACCTACAGAAAAGTGTAACTCCTCTTTCATCAGCAGACAAAAACCATTACAGACAAATGCAACTGGCCAAAATGTAGATGAATAACTGATTAGGAGTGTCCTGCCTCGGTGGATACATCTACAACACAACTCCTGTAACTAAGGCTCAAGGGAACATCATGAGAGAGGGGGCAGAAAGATAGTAAGAGCCAGAGGACAAGACTCGTCTGTGGGGCTGTGTTTCCTAAAAAGGATAGGAAAGCAACACCCATGATGTTGCAACAATTTGACTGCCTGAACAAGACTTGAACAATACCAGTGCCAATAGACAAAACGTAGACAGGGGTGGGGGGGGGTGGGGGGGTGGGGGGTCTCTCAAGGGACCCCACCCCATGACAAAGAACTACAGCTGAGAAAGGGAGAATTAGTTTTCCCTAGGGATTAGTTTTCTAATTGGTTATCCAATACCAAGTGGTCAGCCCTGAAGTCATATATGTTCAAACAATATTAAACAGATTTGGCAGGTTCTCTCTCTCTCTCTCTCTCTCTCTCTCTCTCTCTCTCTCTCTCTCTCTCTCTCTCTCTCTCTCTCTCTCTTTGTGCGTGTGTGTGTGTGTGTGTGTGTGTGTGTGTGTTTTGTTAAATTGAGACAAACTAGTGTTTTCTGGGAAGAGGAGCCTCTATCTGATGACCTGTAGGAATATGTATAGCATATTTTCTTGTTTGGCGATTGATGTGGAAGGGTAGGCCTACTGTGGGTGGTGCCTGGGCAGGTTGTCTTGGGTTGTATAAGAGAGCAAACTGAGCAAGCCAGGAAGAGCAAGCCAAGAGGCTGCATTCCTCCATCATCCCTTCTTTAGTTTCTGCCTCCAGTTCCCTTCGCTGAGTTCTTAACCCGACTTCCCTTCATGGAGGTCTGTAAGGTAAAATTAAACCCTTTCCTCCCCACGCTGTTTAGGTCAGGGTCTGTATCACAATAGAAACTTAACCAAGACAATATGTAACAATAACAATCAAAGAAAAAGAGAAAGGAGGAGTTGAAGGGAGAGGATATGGGAGGAGTTTGAGAGAGGAAAAGGAAGGAAATGAATTAATTATATTTTAATTTAAAGATAAAATAAAACATAATTTCCACCTATAACTATTCTTTTCAATGGTGGAAATTACTGGAAGGATACATCTTGACTCTTCTGAACTATTTCCTCTAATTCCCAGATATTACATCCCTGGAGATCTTGCTCGGTGTTGACTTGTAGGCAGGAGAGAAAGACATATTCTTGCATTCCCCCATTAATTTTTTTCATGTCCTTTAGTCAATTCATTTTGTCTCAAGAACAATTTCTTAAGTCAGCTATGTACCACTATGGTGCCAGGCACTAAGGGTACAAAGATGTGGAAAATACAATTATTGCTTTCTGTAATGTAATAGTCAATATCCAGCATCAATGGGAGAAGCCAAGGGGACTTGGCCAAGCATCCATTGTCTTCTAATTCCAAGCACACTTAGGTGTTCATGTGTATTGTCTTAGATCACATGATGACCTTGGACATGCCTGTCTTCATCTCAGAGGCTCTGAGACATTATTTATTTGCCTAGCACACACCATCAATATGTTGTGACCCGGGGTTCCAGAAATTTGATTTCAGTTTTAATTTTCCTATACTGTGTTTTTCCTTCCCCCAGCACCGCTCTGTATCCCATAATTAAGCTCTGGGATTCTATTTCATTCTCCCTGCTTAAGTTGAAAACTGATAGCGCTGAGAGGGGTTAGAAGAACATGCTTTCTAAGAACCTAAAAACTCGTCAGTCCCTACGGCGTGCAAATCTTAACTATGAATCTTTGGACATCTGAGTCTGTTTCAAACTGACTTTCTATTTCTGAAGGAATGAAGTTATTTATTTATTTGTTTATTTATTTATTTTTGAGACGGGTTTCTTTGTATTATCCTTGCTGTCCTGAAACTAGCTATGTAGACCAGGCTGACCTCAATTCCACAGAGATCTGCCAGTCTCTGCCTCCACCTCCTGAGTGCTGGGATTAGAGGTGTGCACCGCCACTGCCCAGGAAGAAACAAAATTTTAATGCTGGCACACACACACACACACACACACACACACACACACACAAACACACAATGTGACTTTCAACAAAAATATCTTTTAAAAGGAGGTTCTGATGAGGTAAAAAGAACATGCTGGACAAGAGATAACTCCATTCAGGGTAACACTCAGATGTCTTGGAAGTAGTTTTGCTATATGCTACTCATTTCCAAGTGTGTCTGGATTTGCTCAGTATTAGAAACAGAATCTATTAAAGGCCAATTTAGACATTTTGTCATATTAAAGGACTTAATGTCACACCTTAGATTTGCAGTCACCGAAGCTCTCTAAACGGAGGTGGGCAGAGCAATCTAGTAGACCATCTAGAGTTCATAAAGCACTGTGTGACTGACTCTGGATTCATTCTCCACTCATGTTAGTAAACACAAGCCTAACACTTATTACTTTCTTGTATTGGAGCAATTGTTTACATTACATGCTGTGCTACTCATGAGTTATATATTCATCAGCAAATATTTGTTTTTATTTATAGTTCCTGCCTTATGAACATTGGCCAACCTCTTTGGGACCAGCTTGTAGCTGCCCCATAGCCCTGCTGCCCCCATCAATGAAAAGTGACAAGGCTGGAGCCTGTACTGATTTAAGAAGGAGCCTGATGACATCACTGTGCCTCTTGTTTCAGAAGGCCCAGGAGCACAGTGTCCCAGCCTACCTACTATCTGCAGACACACTTCAGGGATTGCCATCTTTAGGCTGAATTTCAAGGTGAACCAGGTTGGAAAATTCAAGGAGAGACTTGGGACGCTATTGACTTTTTCTGCTTCCTATGCTGGTTGATTAGCCCCATACGTGGTGCTTGATTAATGTCTGAGAGCTCTAATTAGCAATGTCTAATCGGCTCCACATACTCTGGGCTATTGATTCCTGCCTCCAGAGAACTAATCCAATTGCACTCTTTACATTAGCAAGTGCTTGCTGTGCAGGGGTGACTGCTTGCATGTTGGAAAGTTTGCCCCACGAAGGGCTTTGGGATGGGGCAGAAGGGACAGGTATTAGTTAGGCAAATGCCCACATCTACCTCTTGGGTGCTGCTTTGATTCCCCCCAAATTGAGGAGTTTCTTCCTAAGTTTTCAGAAGAAGGGAAAGGAATAGGAGTCAAATGTGTCTCTTGAACCAGAGGGAGAAAGTAGAAATGCATAATGGCATCTCCTGTACTTAGTCGATCGGTGCCTAGCTCCCTGCCACATTCAAATGGTGGCATTTATGCTATAATAATGAAGGCATCCCAACTGCTCAATTTGTGGCTTTATTTCATCATATATATACATATATATACATACACATATATACATACATATATATATGTATATGATGTTGGCATGACACTCTGAAAATACAATGTAAGTGGTTAGGGTTTTAGTTCTTTCTTCTCTTTGCGAATGCATGTTTTCTATGCCACTTTGAAATTCAGAACGTGAATTATCCAGCAAGGGCGGCCTCCTTCACTGCCCTGCAAGTGGCTCTGGGTTTGAGAAGGATTAGAAGGATAAAGAAGGTGTAGCTTTGTTGGAGCAGGTATGGTTTTGTTGGAGGTGGTGTGTCCCTGGGAATGGGCTTTGAGTGTCAAAAGCTAATCCAGGCCCAGTGTTTCTCTCTGTCTGTTGCCTGTGGATCAGGATGTAGAACTCTCAGCTACTGCTCCAGTGCCACGTGTGCCACCGTGTCCCCCACCATGGTGATAATAGACGAACCCCCTGAAACTGTAAGCAAGCCTCCAACAGATGCTTTCTTTCATGGGTTGCCTTGACCATGGTGTCTCCTTATAGCAACAGAACAGTGACTAAGACAGAGACAGTTAGAGACACAGTCCTATGACTGCCCTCTCTGCTTTGTGACACCACCTAGAAGACATTGCTCACTGATGGGCTTGTGACACACTTCTTCCCACATGTGTTCTTCTGGTAGCTCTTTTCAAACGGGCTGGCAATTTTCTATCTGTCTGTCTGTCTGTCTGTCATTAGGCTGAATAATGGCTGAAGACAGAGGCTATATCTCACTCACTGGCACAACAAGTGATATGTCCTAAGTGCTTGTCTTTGAGAAACGAGGTCACGTCTCCACTGATGCTTTTAATATCACCATAGGTAGAAGCCTGATGCCATTGGTAGCAGCCTGGATCCACCCCAGGTCCCTGGGCCTCTTCATGGCTGCCACAGCATCTCCTGATGACTCACTTATTGGTGCTCGCCTGAGCCTGAGTCTGTGTCCTGGCTCTGTGTCCCCTTCACAGCATCTGCACCGGATTCCTCCTGTGGTCTCTCAGTAGGTTCATGACCCGCATTCCCTAGGACAGAGCTGTTTCCATTGCTCTGCGTGGGGTATGCGGTGTTATAACTTCCCTTGACTCACAAGAAGACATTGTGGCAGAAGTGGAGAATGGGAAGAGTCACAAAAGGAAAATGAAGTTGGAAGTCAGGTGGAAGGTAGATTGTTTAGGAGCTTGTGGATGTGGTAAGGAGTTTGGTTTTTAGCCAAAATGTAGCGGGAGATAATGATAAAGCAGGACTATAATTTAATAACTTGTAGTTAAAACATAACTCTCACTGCCAAGAAAACAGTATCATATGTTGTGAAATGTGTGTGAAGGTATGCTACATTTGTTCATGATGCATTTGTTTAACAATGTAAATATGTGTGTTTACTCAAGGAAAGATATGTTGCATTTATTTCACCTTGCCTGCCTAAGGCACCTGATTGAGCTAATAAAGGGCTGAATGGCCAATAGCTGGGCAGAGAAAGGAAAGGTGGGACTGTCCGAGAGAGAACAAATAGGAAGGGAAATCTAGACTGAGGAGAAAAGAAAGAAGAGGAATGAGAGAAGAAGTGGGGGAGATGTCCAGGGTAGAAGCCAGGGAGATGCCAGCCAGCAGACACAAGAAGCAGGGAAAGTAAGGTATATAGAAAGAAGGCAAACATCCCCGAGGCAAAAGATAAAGAGACATGAGTTAATTCAAGTTAAAAGAGCTAGCCAGAATGTGTCTAAGCTAGGCCTTGCATTAAAAACTAACCATAATTCTCTGTGCCATGATTTGGGAGCTGGTAGGTGACTCAAAAGAAAAAGCCTGATATAGTCATATAATACACAGAGGTACTAGTAGGAGGTTAACCCAGGCAATTAGATCATATGGTATGATGGTGACCTGTAGGGTTGTATTGGAGGCTGAGATGGAAAGTGATAGAAATGAATGATAGAAGAGAAGGATTAACTCATTTGACTTCCTATCTGTAGCACTGGAGTATGCAAAGGAAGCATTTTCTTAGGAGGGCAATAGTGATGGAGGAGCAGCTTTGGGGACCAAATCAAGGGTGTTTCTTGGATGTATCATTTGTGCTATGTCCCCGGGTAGCCAAGTGGCTTTCCTCTTAGGAGGCACCTGGATATGCAAGTATCAAGCTCAATGAAAACTGAGAATTATATATACAAATTCTGGCATTATTAAATACAGGTGGTGGTTGGATGACACCCCAGAGACAGGTAGCAGAGCATAGTCATAGATGATCACCCTCAACCAAGTCCTGGGGTGGTTGAACTTGAATGCAGAGAGTCAGCAAAGGAATCTGAGCAAGGGTCTCCAATGAAGAAAACCAGGGAGGAGTGACATCTTAGGATGTTAAAGCACAGGGAGGAGTCTAGTGGGATTTGGGCAGCTGAAACCAGAGAAATGCTTGCCTGATGCTGTCCCATTGTGTGGAATGTGGAATTGTGACCATCCAGAAAGAAATGAAGGTATTCTAAAGAGTTGCTTTACCCTTCCCTTTGTCAGTTTTTCAGACCTCTTTGTAGGAGTGACTGGAGCTGAGACAATGATGAGTCAGTGAGGGGCAGGACCATCCCTTGACCAGGGATGTTGAGCTGTTGCCCTTTATTTAAACCTAAACCTCATCTCAGGACATTGAAGATAGAATTGGTGGTCAGGAGTCAGTATCATTGGATGCTTTATTTGTTCTTCTCCCCAATGTAGCCGCATTATTCAAATCTCCTTTCTCTGTTCTTCACTATTAGTTGTCTGTTTAATTGGCCTGTTGAGGATGGGTGGCCCAGAATAGCTTGTTAGGGCTGCCAGGCCTGGGCTCTGACACTAACGACTTTGATAACAGCATCATGAGTTTGAGGATATCCTGGGCTACACACACACACACACACACACACCATGTAGTGGGTGGGGGAGAGAGAGTTAGAAAGAAGAAGGGAGAGAGTCCTACTTCCTGTTTCAGTATTATTCACTATTTGAAGTCAATGGGAACAGCTCTAACAATGTGAGCAGCTGAGAACAAAGTCTCCTAAGGTTAACGAATTCCCCAAGGTGTGTTTCACTTTGTATGAAGAGACACACTGCGCCGCACACCCACAGTGCAACACAGCCTGGAGCACCAGGAGCCCTGCTCACAGCTCTCTGCCCCTGATGTTGGGATCTTGCTTGAATGTCCTTCTCTCCTCAAGAGGTACAGAGGCTTTCTGGCACAGGCTGTCTAGATCCATATGGAAAAAGCTGTATTCCTAATACAAGGGAATAGTGACAGAGGGAAAGCAAAGCAAAGCCTTTGGCTCAACCCTAGGCAAAAATGTACAATTAGAGATGGCTTTCATTTCCATCCTGAGCCTTTCCTCTGGTTTCACGGGGCTAGCTCAGAACAATGTTGGCTTTGTGTCTGAGTCATTAGAAACTCCATCAGCCTGCTTGTTTCAAACCTGCAGCAGTTCGACTGAGAGGAGACTGAAGTCAGGTCTTGAACTCTTCGGCTGAGGATGAGAACAGCAGTTTTCACACTTTCAAGCCAAGTGCTTTCCCCAGGCTCCCACTCAGCTGCATGATAGTTGCTATGTGCTTGTATGAATGAAGGAATAAGGGTGAAGTCAGGTAAACTGAAGAGACAGATTTAATTAGGAGATCTGGACTCTTTGAAGACCATTTTTGCTGTCTGAACCTGGACTCAGACATTTAAGAACGGCATGCTAGAAAAGGACAGTTCAAAAGTCAGAAAAAAGAACATGGCTTCTCCCTATGTCTCACTTCCCCAGTGGCGTCAAAGGAAATCAAATACACCCCTCCTTCCTGTGCTGGAGCAATGGCTCAGTCAGTGAGTGTGAGGACCTGATTTGGGACCCTCAGGACCACAGAAAGTGACAGCGGTGTGCACCTGCAACCCCAGTGCTGAGGACTGGAGAGCTAGTGTGTTCCAATCAGTGAACTCCAGGGTCAGTGAGAGAGACCCCCTGTCCCGAGAAACAAGGTGGATAGTAACATGGTCAAAATGTATTCTATGAAACTCCCAAAGAATAATAGAATATTTTTCACAAGGTGGAGAGTCACTCAGGAAGAGACCTGAATCACCCTTCGGATTACACATGCGTGCGCACACACACATACACATACACACACACTTGTGTGCACACAAACACTCCTAACTACCTTCTCCTTCATACCCCAGAGTGCTCTCATGCTCCCCTCTCCTGAGCACCTTTCTAAATGCAGCTGGTGAGAATTTCACCCCAATTTGCCTTCCCTCTGTGTCCTTGCTCAAAGCCGTTTTCCATCATTAGCAGGAAAGGGAAGTAGGGAGACTCTGTATGCGGCAAGAGTATTATCTTTGGCGACCCAAAGAGGGGGTTGAGTTCTAGAAGTTTCTCACATTAACAGTTTTTTGTTTGCTTGTTTTTTAGCATCACATTCAAAACAGGAAAACATCCGTTGTGGGGGTTAAATGGGATCCACTCAGGTAGCTGGTAACTTTCAGCAGATGTATGGAATCATCACAGCCTCTGTTGTGTGAGCATTAGGTAATATCCTACGTGCAATTTCTTTTATGTCATTCTCATGAAAGATGTGTTTTATCTTCATTATAAATATGCAGCTGCTTTCCTTTAAAACATAAGTTCCTAAACAAATAAAAATGAATTGATGAGCTTATAAAAGGGGGGCTAATGCAGGAAGCACCCAGAAGTAACCCCGGATGCATTGTTAAGTTTATTAGTGGCTGTCAGTGTGGAGTTATAAGAATCTGTGCTTAGACCATGCATTTCAAATTGTTAGCATATATGTCTCTGTGGTTGTGGGAACACCAGACCTTGAGCAGAGACCCACTTCCCCTTCTGCCTGGGAGTAGGCAGCTGTAAGACAATGTTTAGTAAAAACATGTTTACTAAAAACGATACAATAAGTTCCTGGCCACTTCCCCTTCTGCCTGGGAGTAGGCAGCTGTAAGACAATGTTTAGTAAAAACATGTTTACTAAAAATGATACAATAAGTTCCTGGGAAAGGCCTTCCCACAAAAACCGCCCTGACCTCGACCTTGTCCAAAGACTAACCGCACCTTCAAAAACCCACACACATCCACCTCTGGTGTCAGAGCAGAACCAGCCAGGGTAGAGGAGGGAGCAGAAGCTTCTCTGGTGGGAGCTTTTCTTAGGAAGTTTTTCTTGAACCTTTTTGGAGCCTGTTTAAAGTTTTCTTTATATCATTGAACGAGTCTCTATGTTTTCAATACCCGACACCCTCCGCACGTTCTCGGACACAGGCCGCGCAGCAGACGTGACAATTGGAGGTCCCACTGAGATCGTGAAAGCGAGGTAAGTGGACGGGGTTAAGAAACTATGGGGAATAGTTCCGGGAAGCTAGAATCATTGCAGTATCAACTAAAAAAGTTACTTAAAGAACATGGGACTGCAGTCAAGTCTAAAACCCTAGAAGGCTTTCTAAAATCGATCGAACGAGCCAGTCCATGGTTCATTACTGGGGAAGCTTAAATATTCCAGATTGGGAGGAGGTTCGCCGTGATCTTCATAGACTTTTACGAAAAGAGGGATCTGAGTCCTTGCCCCCTACGACATTCTCCTTATGGAGATTAGTGAGGGGAGCACTTTTGACAGATAAGGTTCGTCACCGCCAGGTAGTTCAGGACACAAAAGAGGCTTTTTTAGAGTTACAAGAGACTGAGACTCAAGCCTCCTTGAGTTCAGGGGCAGAGAGTGATGATGAAGAGACCGTGATTGAAACTAGAGGCTCCATTGTTAGTGAGGATGAGGAGGAGTCTCTTAGTAACAACAAAAAAACGGGTAGACATCTCCGGGCACGACCCAAAAAGAAGGACTCCGGTCAGAATCGGTTATATCCTTCTCTATCAGACCTAGAAAATGGAAGTAGCTCAGACTCAGACTCGTCACAGTCTGAAAAGGAACGATTACTTGCTGAGATCACGGCCCTTAAAAAAGAACTAAAAAAGATTCTAATTAAGGAAAGACAGGACAGGGAGAGAAACCCTTCCCCATACTCTGAAAAAAGGGACTCCTCCTATGAGATAACCCAGTCCTTCTCAGACCTGGAGGGAAGACCCAGAGGAGGGGTCCAATGCTGCCCGGTGGTGGCCCCAGTAATGGAAGTTCCAGATCTGAACAATTCTGGACAGGTCATTAGGCGTCATAACCCTTTAAATTTTAAGGATATAAAACAACTTAAAGAGGCAACTTTAAATTATGGCGCACAGGCTCCCTTTACACTTTCCTTAATGGAATCTTTTGCGTCTCTTAATTTGACACCTGGCGATTGGCAGCAGCTTTGCAGAGCAGCTCTGTCGGGGGGAGATTATTTGATTTGGAGAGGTGAGTTTCAGGAAAGATGCAGCCAGACAGCCCAAAGAAATGCACAGGCCGGACAGCCCCAGAGAAATGTGGAGATGCTTACCGGAAGTGGTCAATACGCCACCATTCAGCAGCAAATGCAATATGACATCGCAGTCTATGCCCAAGTGGCAGCAGCGGCCCAAGGGGCTTGGAAAGCATTGCCTTCCAAGGGAGGAGGGGATCATCTGTCCAAAGTCCTTCAAGGACCTTCCGAACCTTTTCAAGACTTCGTAGACCGTCTCAGTCAGGTAGCAGAAAGAATATTTGGGGGCATTGGGCCTGCGATGCCAGTCATAAAGCAGATGGCATTTGAAAATGCAAATAAATATTGTAAGGAAGCCCTTCGCCCCTATCGCAATAAAAGTCTAAATGACTATATCCGGATCTGTAGGGACATTGATGGGAACTTCATCCAGGGCCAAGTGTTAGCTGCTGCCATTCGGCCCCAAGTGGGGAAAGAAAGACCTACTCTGGGAGGGAGAAAAACATGTTTCAGCTGTGGTAGAGAGGGACACTTCCGTAGAGAGCGCCCTCAAAATAGTACTACGGGTCTCAAGAGACCTGGTTTATGCCCCCGTTGTCGAAGGGGATATCATTGGGCCAATAACTGCTACTCTAAAACTGACAGGGAGGGAAATTTCCTTTCTGCTAATAATAATCAGGGAAACGGGAGGAGGGCCCCGCCCCAGGGCCCCAAAACCAATGTGTACGGGGCAATGACCCCTGCTCTGGGCAGTGGCAGGACTCATTTTCTCCCCCAGAGCAACCCCTTCATATCTCAGACCTCCTTAGAGCCACCTCGGGAGTGCAGGATTGGACCTCGCTCCCTCCGCCCGGGCAATCCTAACACCAGAAATGGGGATCCAGGCCCTCCCTACTGGGGTGCATGGGCCATTGCCCCCAGGCACGGTCGGACTACTCTTGGGACGGTCCAGTACTATTCTTCGAGGCCAGGCTGGACTGACAGCCTCAAACAATACAGAGAAACCCTGACTCAAAAAAAATTTTTTTGGTAACAGTAAAGAGGTACTGGTATTAAGTAAAGAAAAAAAAAAGGACAAAGATACATGGAATAAAAAATTTTGTTTACATTTAAATTCTACTTTGTGAGTCATCTCTAAAAACTTTTGGCCAAAAGCCTGGCCTCTCCACCTTGCATCTACAGAGTTACAAGGAGTAGGTACCGCTGTACCCCATGACTATAGCTCAAATGGAGGAATGATAAAAAACATACAGGACTTTTTAACCCTTTTAGTTCAAGGATTGGCTGGAGTTGTTCTTTTACATAGATATCAATTAAGGGAGCTTCATTACAACAGACTAATCATGACCTAGGGAAAAAGGATGACTAAAAGATGCATGTATGTTCTGAATGTATGGTGTGGCCACACCGGTATGTATGAAATGTGATTGTGAATGCGTGAGTGTAAACTGCTTATATGATTAAAAGGATACTTAAATCCCTTCAAAAATAGTTAAGAAGCTACCTAGATTGCTTTAAATATAGCCAAAAGGAACATCCAGCCAGTCTGTTAATGTTTTAAAAAAAAATTTTAAGATGCAAATGAGGCCTTGTCAGCTAGTGAGAGCTCTGCAGGTTAGATTGGGAAAGACTGCTCACAGACTTCAAATAATTTTCAAAAGTTATTTGGACACAGTATAGTTTACAATCTTTGAGTGATTTTCAGAAGTTTTTGGGAAATATTTAATGGATATGTCCTGTTTAATGGGCATCTACAAATAATCTAAGTAGTAATCCCAATTTACCTAGATAGTTAACCAAGGAGGGTAGACAAATCCTTCTACTGTTATGGTCCAGCTTCAACAGTTCAAAAAAAACCTTTTTTTTAGAAAATAAAAAAGGGGGAATAATGCCCCCAGTCCCCACATGACTCATCAAATAATACACTCCTCATTTAAAAATTTTATAATGTAAATGCCAGTGAGCTTCAGACAGATTCTGGCATGACGGAACCTGAGCTATCATTGCTCAGGTCAAATGGAGACATCCATACACTAGACAGTGGAGAAGACCCTAATTTGGGGTCGAGGGCATGTTTGTGTTTTCTTATAGGAAAAGAATAAAAGCTTCGACATGGAGCAGAAAAAAACTGGACCTGAGACCATGGGAGCCTACCTAAGCCAGTTTGAGTGAGATCTCCTAAATCAGTGTTCCTGACCCTTGATGTCATCGAATCTACAGCCCAAAAAAAGAAAGAAAACAGTCGGTTCGAGATTTCCAGTTTCTCAACAGACCTGCTACATCAACCTTCCGGACCCATGAGTTTTCATCATGAAGCTAACAGAGAAAAAAGGACCCATTTAAAGCATTTGGACATTGGTATGGACTATGATGAGTGGCAAAAGCCTCTTTTCAGTATTTGAACAGGACATGGTCACTTGATGGTTCCTGTTTCTGGAATCACGACTAGGCCAGTGTATTTTTCTGGAGAAATACAACTTGTCCTAATGCGACAACTATTGTTCATATTTTTCGTAATGCTACATGTGTAACATCAATGATTATACCTAATGTATCTGTGCAAGTGCACTTTCTAAATGCTTTCCTGAGCAGATCTTGAAACGATTGGAAACTTTATCAAATTGTAAATGTAAATCACATGCGGGTTACCCTTGTAACAGATGAAGGCTGGTAGAATGTTATGGCCCAGATCTGGTGATGGGTATGGTGATGGAGAGGCGCTATGTCAATGGGGGTCCTGGAAATGGTGGCAGTGGCGGTAGGCATTCTGGCTTTATGCCAAGCTCAAACGTGCCTTGTTCCAGAGACAAGAGATCCGTAACCAAGTATTGCTTAGCTTAGCCCATGGCAATCCCGATAGCCATGAAGGTTGGTTACAGATGATTTAAGGTTGGGGTATCTCCGATGACGGGCAACCTGTGGGGAAGACCCCTCCCACCTAAAACAGGGGTTCAAGGTCCCCCAAAGACGGGAAAGGGAGGGTGACCTACTTGACCTAAGCCAGGAGTGCCTCATTTAAAAATAAAAAGGGGTGAATTGTGGGAACACCAGACCTTGAGCAGAGACCCACTTCCCCTTCTGCCTGGGAGTAGGCAGCTGTAAGACAATGTTTAGTAAAAACATGTTTACTAAAAACGATACAATAAGTTCCTGGCCACTTCCCCTTCTGCCTGGGAGTAGGCAGCTGTAAGACAATGTTTAGTAAAAACATGTTTACTAAAAATGATACAATAAGTTCCTGGGAAAGGCCTTCCCACAAAAACCGCCCTGACCTCGACCTTGTCCAAAGACTAACCGCACCTTCAAAAACCCACACACATCCACCTCTGGTGTCAGAGCAGAACCAGCCAGGGTAGAGGAGGGAGCAGAAGCTTCTCTGGTGGGAGCTTTTCTTAGGAAGTTTTTCTTGAACCTTTTTGGAGCCTGTTTAAAGTTTTCTTTATATCATTGAACGAGTCTCTATGTTTTCAATACCCGACACCCTCCGCACGTTCTCGGACACAGGCCGCGCAGCAGACGTGACATGTGGTAACTTCAGTGATCTGGGGTTTTAAAGGAATTTTGGAGTTGTTTTTAAGTAGGGTTTCAATGGTGAAAAATCAGGAAACACCACTCTTTTTATTCAAATGTGAGGTCTTTACACACACACACACACACACACACACACACACACACACACACTGATTTCATTATTATCAGTGATTATTATAAAAGAGTAAGGGATCAACCCAATTCTGTATTGTCTTGGATACTATAATTTACTGTGTCCGCGCAACAGGCAGTTGTTAAGTTACCATTGCCATGGACCATGTGTAGGTGATGTTTAGCTGGGATTTCTGGCTCCAAGTCTCTTCTGATGTGGCAGACATACCGGGACCATCAGTGTTAAAGATTTTCATGTCTGACTGGTAGTGAAGATTCTGCTTCAGGGATAGCTCACTACTGGACGGTGCTCTGCAGGTAGCTT